ACACACACACACACACACACACACACACACACACACACACACACACACACAAACACACACACAAACACACACAAACATGCACACGCACATACAAACGCACACACACATACATACATACACACACAAACACATACACGCACACACCACCACAGAGAGAAAGAGAGAGAGAGAGAGAGAGAGAGAGAGAGAGAGAGAGAGAGAGAGAGAGAAAGAGAAAAGGAGAGAAAGAGAGAGAGAAAGAGTGAGAGAAAGAGTGACAAAGAGTGAGAGAAAGAGAGAAAGAGAGAGAGAGAGGGGGGGGGAGAGAGAGAGAGAGAGAGGGGGGGGAGAGAGAGAGAGAGAGAGAGAGAGAGAGAGAGAGGGGAGGAAGGGAGAGAGATTAATATATGCAGAGAGAGAGAGAGGGGAGAGAGAGAGAGAGAGAGCGAGAGAGAGAGAGAGAGAGAGAGAGAGATGGCATGATATCTGTTAGAACCAATGTTTATGTCTAGAGTTTTGAATTAGATAGGTGTTAGTCTTTGAGCATATTTTTTTTGCTTCATTTTGTTTTGTTTTGTTTTTATACTATCAGTACTGCAGTTAATATTTTTCAGATGCTGAACTCAATAAATATAACCTCTAATAATCATGTGTCCAGTCACGAAAGTGTTTTTGTTTCTATTTGATGATCATGCACTCTTAGATTTTTAGATTAAGTAGAAGTTTTACGGTTCTCGCAACTGCATAAGGTCATATGAGCGCCATAGCATGCACTCTCTCTGAGGCCATAGCGTTGAGTTTCATACATTGCCAACGAGGTTCATCTGTCGACGAGAAATTCATGATGCGTTACTCAATTTTTGTTACGTTTTGGGCTTATTCAACAACAGTTTTGCGTTGAAAATCGAAATTGTGTAAGCCCCTTTCAACACTTTAATAAGGTTATTTAAAAGACGGGACCTCCGAATTTAACATCCATCCCTGATGATAGGACGAAGCCGGACGGCGAGTGAGTCTTGAAGACTCCCTCCCCTAAACAACCGAATTTCAGAACGCCCCATTTGGGATTCAAACCAGAGCCATCCTCTCAGTTGTTTGTTTGGGGTTGTTTTTTGTTTTTTGTTTTGATTTGTTTTTTTAGACCCTGCCCATTTCAATCAACTGGCACTTTTGTGTTTAGTAGAAATAACAACACCTACAAAATGTGCAGCACTTTGGATTCCTCTCGGTTGTTACCAGCTGAGCTAACGGCACTCCCATTTTGCACTGATTCGGAGTGGGTGGTTGGCGGGTGCTCTGGTGTGGTTTGCTTCTTCTTTCCTATCAAACATCTATCGTCCTTATCTCCCCTCCTTCTTTTTTATGTGTGTTACTCTCTGGTAACACCTCTAATCTTCTGGCGCTCATATGACCGTATGCAGTTGCGAGCGCCGTAAAATATCTATTAAAACTAAAAACTGATTCGGTGATCGTGTCAAGTGGGTGGCTGGCGGGTGTGTGGTTTACTCCTTATTTCCTATCAAATATCTGTCGTTTTTATTTTTTCTTTTCTTTTTTTATTTTTTTTTTTTTGGTTGTGTGTTACTCTTCAGTGACGAATCCATATTAAGGCACTTGTATGACCTATATTATACGTTGCAAGTGCCGTAAAACCCTTACTAAAACGTTTAAAAAAATTTTTAATGCATAATATAACTGAGCTGTACGATTTGTTTTCACTTCCCCTCTCTCTCTCTCTCTCTCTCTCTCTCTCTCTCTATCTATCTATATAGTTAGTTAGTTAGTTAGTTAGTGTTTTACGGCGCTCGCAACTGCATAAGGTCATATGAGCGCGACGGACACATTAAACATTTTCGGTTGGTGGGAAAGTTTGAATTTTGCCCGGGTGGTTCGAACCCGAATGGCGACGGAATTTTTTCTGCTCTAAATTGTCTCATTTCACATCCTCTCCTGCTCTCTAGCAATGTTCTGTCATCTGCTTTCGTCTCCACTTTCTGCTCCCACCCAATCACCTTCTTTGCCCCCTACTCTGGGGCCCCAGACTCTTTCTGCAGCCTTTCTGCTACTACTCCATGGCTCCTTCTTACTGCAATCTTTCAGCCACACCCCTGATCTTATGATAGGAAATATCTACACCTAGCCTTCTCGGACGAGGGCGAGAAATCTCGGAAGTCCCGTTTGCAAGTTGCGAACGTTAAAAATCCCTTGGTGGTCCAAAATCGATCAGAGTAGGCTTCGGCCGCCACCCGGGCAAAATTCAAAATTTCTGACCAACTGAAATGTTTGATGTGTCCTGCGCGCTTTTGAGTAAAACAAATCTAAACAGAAATGTTAGAAGGTGCTGAGCCAAAAAGTTCCACAGCCAGAAAAATGCCGGTTTCCTTGATTACATTATTTTGAGGTGCGCCTGATTTCACTACGTTGCTTCACAAATATACATTGGGCAGAAGATATGGGTTCCATTCCCAGGCAGGGAGTTTCTTGATAAAGTGTTAGTTCGCTGAGACATGTATCCCACTCAGCCTGGGCTTGTCCTGACAGGCAGGGTCAAAGCAGCTAGTCTCTTAAACTAATGAGATTCTGAAACTTTACTATCACGAATGAAATGACAAATAAGGTCAAAGCGTGATTATTACATCATGAAGATCTAAAACTGACCACATCTTTTCCGGTTCTCTCTTATCATTGGCTGGACACTCAGCTCTTGCCAGATATATATTATCAGAGATCACGCAAGAAGGTCATCACAACATTGTGTCAATTTGGCTGGACATTCAGCTCTTGCCAGATATATATTATCAGAGATCACGCAAGAAGGTCATCACAACATTGTGTCAATTTGGCTGGAGCTGTGACTGGTCAGTTGCATTTGAACGTTTCGGGGAAGTGTTTTTGGAAGTATTCGGGACCTTGCAGGAGAAGATTTTATTTTGGGCGAGTATGTTTCGTTTTGTTCGGAGACACAAGACATTTTTCTGACTGAACCAAACTAATCGCTATCTCAGAATTACAAAGTTTTATTTGACATTTCTGGCCGTTTTGAGTTACTTTTACTAAGCCCGTGAGGTCAGAAATTAAATGTTCTAGCTGTTCTATGAAAAGCATCGTAAGATTACTCGGAGTCGTTATGAGGATATTCAAAGAATTGCATTCGACAAAGCTTGACAGTGGGGAGTTGGCGGGTGCTCTGGTGTGGTTTGCTTCTTCTTTCCTATAAAACATATATCGTCCTTGTCTCCCTTTTTTCTTTTTTATGTTTGTTACTCTCTTGTAACACCTCTAATCTTCTGGCTCTCATATGACCTTATGCAGTTGCGAGCGCCGTAAAATCTCTACTATAACTAACTAAAGCTTGACATGTTGTGAAACTCGAAATCTTCGACGTCAATTTCTCAGAATTAGACACTGAGCAGATAGAACTTTGTAATTCTGAGGTAGCGTAATGTCAAGACAAGATTAAAGACAGTTTAGTGCAAGATGGTCTACATGTTTAAAATTCGTTTTTAAAGTCTACTCAAAATTCACACGCAATTTTTGTGTCGCAACTGACGCAAATTAGAAGTGTTCTGTTTTCTTGTCGGACAAGTCAGTTCTTTCAAAGCCATTTTCACTCCTACTCAAACATAGCTTCTAATACTGTACAAGGAAAGCTACAGTCTGAAATGGTATCAAGTGTCTAATAATACAGATGTCACTTCCAGCATTGTATTATTATTTTT